CTAAACCCTCTTAGGCCTCACTCCCCCCTATCTGAGATACCTACTGCAGCCCTCATCCTCCACATACAACACCCATTCTGCCAGTCACATTCTGTTAAAGTCCCCAAAGCACACACATCCCTGGGTCGCTCCTCTTTCCAGTTCGCTGCAGCTAGCGACTGGAATGAGCTGCATTTTTTTTATTCTCTTCATTCAAAGACTCAATCATGGACACTCTTACTGACAGTTGTGGCTGCTTCGCGTGATGTATTGTTGTCCTTACCTTCTTGCCTTTTGTACTGTTGTCTGTGCCCAATAATGTTTGTACCATGTCTTGTGCTGCTACCATGTTGCTGCCATGAATGTTGTTACCATGTTGTTTTGATATTGGGTTGCTACCTTGCTGTGTTGTCGTGTGTTGCTGCCATGCTATGTTGTTGTCTTAGGTCTCTATTTATGTAGTGTTGTGTTGTCTCTCTTGTTGTGATGTGTGTTTGGTCCTATATTTATATATATATATTTGTTAAATCCCATCCCCCGTCCCCGCAGGAGGCCTTTTGCCCTTTGGTAGGCCGTCATTGTAAATAAGAATTTGTTCTTAACTGACTTGCCTAGTTAAATAAAGGTTAAATAAAATTAAAATACATTGAAATATATAGGCCTATAGCCAGTGTTGACTTTGTGGCAGTGGTAACTAGTGTAAACCCAGGACAGCAGATGGAAAAGAAAGAAAACAAATAAAACAAAATAAAAATGTATTTGTCGCATGGTTTGTAAACAACAGGTGTAGACTAACAGTGAAATGCTTACTTAGGGGCATTTCCCAACAATGCAGAGAGAAATAAAGAGAAAGAATTGAAAAATATCAATATAATAACACAAGGAATAAATACCCAATGAGTAATGAAAATTAGCTTTGTAGTCTTAATTTAAGGCTATATACACAGGGTGCTAGTACCGAGTTGATGTGCAGGAGTACGAGGTAATTGAGGTAGATATGTACATAGGGATAGTGACTAGGCAACAGGATAGATAATAAACAGTGACATATGTTATGAGTCATTTACATTTTAGTCATTTAGCAGACACTCTTATCCAGAGCGAGTGCATACATGTTATTTTTTTCTTCCATACTGGCCCCCCGTGGGAATCGAACCCACAACCCTGGCATTGCAAGCACCATGCTCTACCAACTGAGCTACACTGGACCCTAGAGTCAAAAGAGTTAGTGCAAAAAAGGTAAATGCAGATAGTCCGGGTAGCTATTTAGCAGTCTTATGGCTTAGGGGTAGAAGCAGTTCAGGGTCCTGTTGGTTCCAGACTTGGTGCATCGGTACCGCTTGCCGTGCAGTAGCAGAGAGTACAGTCTATGACTTGAGTGGCTGGAGTCTTTGACAATTTTTAGGGCCTTCCTCTAACACGTCCTGGTATAGAGGTCCTGGATGGCAGGGAGTTCTGCCCCAGTGATGTACTGTGCCGTACGCACTACCCTCTGTAGCGCCTTGCGATCGCATGCCAAGCAGTTTCCATACCAAGCGGTGATGCAACCAGTCAAGATGCTCTCAATGGGGCAGCTGTATAACTTTTTGAGGGTCTGAGGGCCCATGCCGAATCTTTGCAGCCTCCTCAGGGGGAAGAGGCGTTGTCGTGCCCTCTTCACTACTGTGTTGGTGTGTGTGGACCATGATAATTCCTTAGTGATGTGGACACAGAGGAACTTGAAGCTCTCAACCTGCTCCACTACAGCCCTGTCGATGGGGATGGGGGCGTGCTCGGCCATCCGTTTCATGTTGTCTTGTTGAGGGAGAGATTGTTGTCCTAGCACCACACTGCTCTGACCTCCTCCCTATAGGTTGACTCATCGTCGTCGGTGATCAGGCCTACCACCGTTGTGTCGTCTGCAAACTTAATGATGGTGTTGGAGTCATGCGCGGCCACACAGTTGTTTTGTCCAGGTGCGAAAGTGGAGTGCAATAGAGATTGTGTCATCTGTGGATCTGTTGGGGCGGTATGCGAATTGTAGTGGGTCCAGGGTGTCTGGGATGCTGGTCCTATGTGGCTCAGTTGGTAGAGCATGGCACTTGCGACACCAGGGTTGTGGGTTCGATTCCCACGGGGGACCAGTATGTAAAAGTATTTTAATGTATGAACTCACTACTGTAAGTCGTTCTGGAGAAGAGCGTCTGCTAAATTACTAAAATGTAATGGTGTTGATGTCAGCCATGACCAGCCTTTCAAAGTATTTAATGGCTACCGATGTGAGTGCTAAGGGGCGATAGTCATTTAGACAGGTTACCATGGTGCTCTTGGGCACAGGGACTATGGTGGGCTGCTTGAAACATGTAGGCATTGCACAGTGTAGCCTAATAAAGTTGGAAAAGTACGGAGCACTTTAAAACTAAACTTGGCTTGTATTCATGTTTCCCTGCCCCCAACTTAATACATTTTTGCTGTCAACTTTGTGTCAATTTCAGGCAATTATAACACTATAAATAGACCTACACTAATTTACAGGGGACAAAAATATTGGAACTAAAATATCTATCAATCTAATTGAAACTACTGGACATTCTGTGTGTAACTCTCTAAAGCTAACTTAATTATCCCTGAAATCTGTTCTTCACAGTAAAATGGCTGTGGCTATGTGGATGGTGGAGAGCACTGTCTGGGACCTCTTGTGGTGGTGGTGGTGAGGGAGAGACTCAACCCCAGGAACAGCACATACAAAACCACACCAGACAAAAAGTCAGGTCAACCTCTGCTACATGTATCACATCATACAACTTAATCAGAGAAATGATCTAACAGGTGTCATTATGAGAATGATGGATACAGACAGTGATGTCTTTATGCAGTATGTTCAAATCACCAAAAGAGGGCAATAAATGCCAAGCATTAGTATTCACTATTTTGTTACTTGTCTTCATTGATGATTGTGTTAGAAGTGTCCACGCACATCTATTTTCATTACATTTGAGTGGAAAAAACTGGAAGATTGTTTATGCAAACACAACATCATATTAGTAAATGTGATTTTTTTTGTCCTCCTCTCTCTGCAGGGGGTTCTGCCGTTTCTTGCTCTACTTCACTCTTTTGTTCCCCACTGTCCCTCCTGCCTGGCATACCAGCCTGGAAGAATTCATTTGGGGAGTATGGCGGGGGAGGAGAGGGGGAATTGTGGAGATGGTGGTGAGGACTGCTGCTCAGCTATGACCTCATCCTCTCTTTCTTCCGGGGAGGGAGTGAGATCATGGCTGTCGTAAAGAGCCATTAATGGTGTCTTAACTGGCCCAGACAGTACTGGATCACCCACTGCACTGCTGAAATCCAATTGGCTCCTTAACAACCCTGTGCCCAGGATAAAGGAACATTTGTGGAAGTAGGAAGCACACTCTGCCTAGTTGACAGATGTGCTCTTTTTTTTAACATAAATTATATTTTCTCTTAGTGTCTAGACCTATTATGTGTTTTTCTTTGCATAGGTGTGTATTTCTTGGAGAGTATGGCAGGCAAGCACCTCACGTCTCCCATTTGCTTGCTCAATATGTGTGTCAGACTGAGCTGCGGATGACAGTTTGTGGGTGTATGTGTTCATTATTGTGCAGAGGAAATTCTTCTTCCTCTCTTAATTGTCCCACCTCATTTACATAATTTTGAATGGCATAGCCTAACTTGTTATTAAGCCTAACTAATCAGGAAAAGAGTGTTGGAATGGGGAAAATATGAGAGGGAAAAAGAGGAAACTGCAATTATGCAAAGCTTTTAGTCTCTTTTGATGAGTTTTAAATTGTTTTGTTATTCAACCAGAACAAGCATTTCATTGATCTGGTCAAGTGTCTCAAATGCATAGGCGCAGGAAATAGTTTGAGAGTGGGGGTGCTGCGATTTTTTTTGCCGACTGGGGCGGATGCAGAATTTTTTTTGTTGCCCCCTGCTGAAGATGTCTAGAATTGGTCCCTAATACAGGACTAGTAGAGGCCCAGTGCACTACTTTTGTGAAAATGTTCAACTAAATGTATTTGAGTGTTTACCAGAATTTGTAATGTGAGTCTGATAATTATCTGTACAAAACAGTTAATCTGATAATACTTGTGGAATATAAAAATACTTGCTTGATATATGTTTTCCAGTTTCTTGAAATTCTTTGCAAATGCAACTTTTTCTATGTGAAAACTGAAACGGTCTATTCATTCCTTTTCAGTAGACACTCTTATCCAGAGAATACATGTTCATACTGGTCCCCTGTGGGAATCGAACCCACAACCCCAGCATTGCAAGCGCCATGCGTTACCAACTGAGCCACTTCATCACAAATCACTTGATGTCTCAATTACTGTATTTTGCATTGTTTTTCTTCATGGTGATGGAAAGTCTACAGGTACAAACCTCGATGATCAGCCTATGTGCAATAGATTTACAATACATTTACATTAAGTGGTTTTTAAGGATGGTAAATTAATACTGCAAAAAAGTGGTTGTTTTCCATGTTATTTGATAAAGATAAATATTTCATTTGATGTGGATGTTTTGTGTCTTTACCCATAACTTTGCACCTTTTGATGTAAATGTTTGAGAACAGGGTTTGGTTTTTCTCAGAGAAAGGGACAGGGCAACAACTCTTACATTTCCTACTATTGAATCCTGCAAGATACTGTTCTTAATTATACAACTATCTTTTTTGCCAAAGCAGAGATGCTGAAAAAAATGTTTTGCACATGCTACGGAAGTCTATAATCGGTCTGCTAATACTAGTAAAGGCCCAGTACACTACGTTTTTTGCCCCCCAATTTCCCGTGGCTATGCTGAAGTGAGTATTTTTTATCTTCCTTTAATTTGTAATACATAGAATCATGTATATATATATATATATATTTTTTTTTTCATTAAGCAATTACTGAGATGATATGGGACTAGTGGTCTATGCAGAATGTTTCAATGAAAAGTAGGCTGACTTTTAAACGGATAATCCGTTGGGACTCGTGGGCTGAAACCCTTCCTCCCCTTTAATCGCGTGGTTTCTCTCCTAGCCTATTTGCTCTCGCTTCCACATTTGCGATCAGTCGTTTCCTTCTAGCGGAGCTCTGTTGTGTTTCGCCACCCTCGGACGGGAGCGGACTGTAGTTGTTTTTGTTTCCCTATTTACATTCATGGGCAAAAGCTATTAAAATAGGATGACTTTCCACGTTTGTCTTTATTACGATAAAAATGAAGAAACGTGGAATAAAGCGCTCGGATACTGAGTGGTAGAAGAAGCCAAGGACCGAAGGTTTGTGTCTCAGCGCAATGCACTGTCAGTATAAAAACAGGAATTTAGTGAAAAACTTGTTTTATAAGCTGCAGAATTTACATGGAAGTAAAATTATAGATTGAAGTGTTTAAGTTGTAGTTTGTTTCAATGTTATCGTTGTTGATGGTGAAATAATGCACAGATCACAGAGGACTAGAACGAAAGGAAACCATGATTACAGTGGTAGGTTTTGGACCTAGATGTTTTTAGCCTATAATAAACTATTTGATTACGTATAATTGCCTTCAATGTGTGTTAAAGAGTTACCTATATTATTACTTTCATGATAGTGGTAATGCAATAGGCTAATACAGTCGTATTGTGTTGTAAAATATAATTGTGATGTAACATATTAGTTATTTCATTTGGTGATGATTGCCTGCTGTTTTGAAGCAGGTTTTGACACGGGTCAGGAAAAAACTGTTTTCCTTTTTAATATCTATTACTGACAGTTGGCCCTAGTGGATTCAGTATCAGTGAATTAAATCAGACTTTATTACCTGGGCTTTCAATTTAATTGCTCTTCTCGGGCAAAGTCCAGGCTCTAGACTGCTTTATTGTTTCTCTGAGCCGACATTCATAGGAAATAAAGTCCAGCTGTCGTCGGGAAGAGTGTTTTTTGTCTTTTTCTTTTACACTCTGTTGCACAGTGGCCCCTGGACAAGTGGGAGAAGTGTGCACAGAGAGGATTATCATAAGGTTTAAAGATTTCCTAGTAGTCCTGCATTATAAATGGAAGAAGTGATGTTAGTGTTTTACATAACTTCAGAACAGGACCCACAATGTCAATCCAATCCACTGTCTGTTGTGTATTTAGTCTGAGGTCTAGAATCAGTTCACCCAAGGGCAAGTAAGTAGTTTAACCTGAATCATCATATTTTTCCCTAACAGCAACCTGTCTTTAAACCCATCAAGTGTCTGAGGGAGCAGAGGTCAAATGGCAAAGTGGCTCAAAGACTATCTGAGTTTTGGGAGCAGGAGAATGCCTCCTCAACCACCCAAACCAGACTACACAGAGAGTGAGATACTGAAAGCCTATCGGACTCAGAAGAACCTAGACTTTGAGGACCCATATGAGGACTCTGAGAACCGGGCCAGAAACGACTCTGGGTCCTCAGACTCTTCCCTTGCTGCCTTTGGTTCTCCTCTGAAGTCCACCAGCCTGGATATGAAGGTTGTATCTCCCAAACACCGCCTCATCAAGGTGGACTCACAGGAGCTGGGGCGAACTAAGATTTTACTGAGTGCCGTCTCCTTAGAGGAACAAGAGCCTGTGAGTCATTTTTCCTGTTCAACATTAACATTCATTACCATTACAAAGACCTCTCCGCTTATTGATTAAGCCCATAAGCAAGTGACTGGTAATGTGAGTCAGAAGTATGCAATGTTTCAATACATCACGCTATGTTTGAAGTGGCCCATAAATTGGCTGGCCTAGATGGCAAATGGAAGGAAGTGTTATTGATGGGCTGGATGGCTCATTGAGTGGGCCGCCACAGTCCCCTGAGTTTATGTCCAGCCATAAATAATAAATGGCGTTTGGTTTAGCAAGCTGAGAGAGACCCCCATGTGAACACATGGTGAAGGAAGCCATGCAGGCGCTAGGCTATTGGACGGTATGCTGCCACACTTGTGTTGCCATCAGGCCCACAGTCCCACCCTGGATGAGTACAGTATGTGTTGGCAGGAGAACACACAGGCACAGCTGCAAGGGTCAGTGATGCTCAGGATTTCATAGAGATATAGAAAGAGAGAGAGGGAGAGAGAGTTTGCCTATGTAGAAAGGCAGCGAATGCACATTAATTCAGTTAACAAATCAGCTCACACCTCATGACTAAGTTAATGATGTATCATTTGAAACTCCATAAGTGCACAGCTCCTAACAGTACATTGAAGATCTGAGGGAAAGTAGAGTCGATACAGACTCTCTGCATGCGTGCTCTGGCTGCCCTCATTAATGTCTCAGTGTAGAATTCTGGTGTGTGAGAACATCTATACCCTCATTAACATTGCAGATTCATTCCTGGTCGTTTGATAACCTGTTACTGAATCAACAAGGGAATGTCTATAATTTGTGTCTGTGCGTCTCTAACGGGTTTGTTGCGTGACTTGGTTGTCTGATTGTGTGTGTGTGACCATATGGCTGCCTTGTAGTTGTCAGTGTGCCAGCTGACTACTATTCCTTCCTGTGTGTAGCATGTATGGGCTATTCCACACCAGGACAGCCTGAATGTTTTTGTTGGTATCTCAGATTGTTCTGGCAATTTTCACATAGAAACTTCAATGGGAGGAACACAGATCATAGGGTCTTACAGGAGGTATGTATACAGTGGGGGGAAAAAAGTATTTAGTCAGCCACCAATTGTGCAAGTTCTCCCACTTAAAAAGATGAGAGGCCTGTAATTTTCATCATAGGTACACGTCAACTATGACAGACAAAATGAGAAAAAAATCCAGAAAATCACATTGTAGGATTTTTAATACTAATGAATTTATTTGCAAATTATGGTGGAAAAAAAGTATTTGGTCAATAACAAAAGTTTCTCAATACTTTGTTATATACCCTTTGTTGGCAATGACACAGGTCAAACGTTTTCTGTAAGTCTTCACAAGGTTTTCACACACTGTTGCTGGTATTTTGGCCCATTCCTCCATGCAGATCTCCTCTAGAGCAGTGATGTTTTGGGGCTGTCGCTGGGCAACACAGACTTTCAACTCCCTCCAAAGATTTTCTATGGGATTGAGATCTGGAGACTGGCTAGGCCACTCCAGGACCCTGAAATGCTTCTTACGAAGCCACTCCTTCGTTGCCCGGGCGGTGTGTTTGGGATCATTGTCATGCTGAAAGACCCAGCCACGTTTCATCTTCAATGCCCTTGCTGATGGAAGGAGGTTTTCACTCAAAATCTCACGATACATGGCCCCATTCATTCTTTCCTTTACACGGATCAGTCGTCCTGGTCCCTTTGCAGAAAAACAGCCCCAAAGCATGATGTTTCCACCCCCATGCTTCACAGTAGGTATGGTGTTCTTTGGATGCAACTCAGCATTCTTTGTCCTCCAAACACGACGAGTTGAGTTTTTACCAAAAAGTTATATTTTGGTTTCATCTGACCATATGACATTCTCCCAATCCTCTTCTGGATCATCCAAATGCACTCTAGCAAACTTCAGACGGGCCTGGACATGTACTGGCTTAAGCAGGGGGACACGTCTTTCACTGCAGGATTTGAGTCCCTGGCGGCGTAGTGTGTTTCTGATGGTAGGCTTTGTTACTTTGGTCCCAACTCTCTGCAGGTCATTCACTAGGTCCCCCTGTGTGGTTCTGGGATTTTCGCTCACCGTTCTTGTGATCATTTTGACCCCACGGGGTGAGATCTAGCGTGGAGCCCCAGATCGAGGGAGATTATCAGTGGTCTTGTATGTCTTCCATTTCCTAATAATTGCTCCCACAGTTGATTTCTTCAAACCAAGCTGCTTACCTATTGCAGATTCAGTCTTCCCAGCCTGTTGCAGGTCTACAATTTTGTTTCTGGTGTCCTTTGACAGCTCTTTGGTCTTGGCCATAGTGGAGTTTGGAGTGTGACTGTTTGAGGTTGTGGACAGGTGTCTTTTATACTTATAACAAGTTCAAACAGGTGCCATTAATACAGGTAACGAGTGGAGGACAGAGGAGCCTCTTAAAGAAGAAGTTACAGGTCTGTGAGAGCCAGAAATCTTGCTTGTTTGTAGGTGACCAAATACTTATTTTCCACCATAATTTGCAAATAAATTCATAAAAAATCCTACAATGTAATTTTCTGGATTTTTTCTTCTCAATTTGTCTGTCATAGTTGACGTGTACCTATGATGAAAATTACAGGCCTCTCTCATCTTTTTAAGTGGGAGAACTTGCACAATTGGTGGCTGACTAAATACCTTTTTCCCCCACTGTAGATCTAAAAGGGTCTAAAATAGACACTTCTATCATGTTGTTTGCAAAAATGGTTTGTGACACTTATGTAAAAAGCATGTCAAACATAATTCCTACCAATGACGTCATAGTGAGAATTGCCAGAACAATCTGAGATACCCAAAATATTTTCGGGCTGTCCTGGCGTGGAATCGCCCTATGGAGGAACAAATGCTCTCCTCAAATAAACCCCCTCTGTATTCTCTGTCACACAAACTAACAATTCTATCTTTTTCGGACATTCTCATTTTGTGTTGATTTCAGATGTCAACTAATTCATTTCATTGAAAAATTTGAAGTCTATTTTTGGACGATGAAAATATTTTTTTGGGATTCTGGTGTCAGTGGTCTGTAGTTGAGACTGCCATGTGTATGAATGGTGTAGTGCACCGTGTCTTTATGTGTGTGTCTCTGTATCCCAGGTAGTTCCATCAGCCCCAGCAGTAGGGGACACAGATTACTCTGATCCATTTGATGCTCACCCAAACCCCTGGCCAGAGCCTGATCTGGGACCAGTTCCCTGTGAGAACAACGGCTACATGGAGCCTTATGAGGCCCAACGTGTCATCACAGGTGAGTCTCAGGGTTTTGGATGTACCAAGTATTTATGTAATTTTTAGGACATTGTTAAAACATACTACAGACCACAGGACAGGTAGGCTGATAACGGGTAGGTCACACATAATGAAAAAGTATATTTTCTGTACTTGCATTCCTATTGTACGTCCCTAGCTCGTTACCAGATCTGTTTGTGCTTTAGCCAACTCCTCTGACTTTGGTTGTCATGCCTTAGATAGAAAAGTTGGCTAGAGCCTAGAGTACAAATAGATCTGCTGACTAGGCTACATCCCCTTCCAGCAGAAACAGTTTTCCCCCTCTCAGACAGTTCTTTTAGTCTGGCTCACTCAACTCACACACAGCCTTTCACCACCCCTTACGAATGTCTCTATCCTACTACGCCCTTTCGCTCTCGCTCTTCTTCCATCCTTTGGTTCAGATCTATCGTTTCTCATTTGGCTTTCCTGTAGTAACATCTCTTATTCCACGACCACTGTCTGTCAGGCTTGTGTAGTGAAGCGTCTCTCCCATCTGAGTGGTGGTTTCTCTCCTAGCTGCCCTCGGGGGAGTCTGGGAAGCTTTTTAGTCCGTCTGAGAGTCAGTGAGTGTGTGTTTGACTGTTGTCTTTGCTGGCTTCATTCAGGTCATAAGTAGTTTATAGTCACAGGGTTAGGACAAAAGGGCTCCTAGTCTTTCAACTTGTTAGATACACAATGGAGCCTGAGCCAGTCAACCCAGGACTGCGTTGGTGTGGTGTGTCTGTGGGCGCTCATTAAAAAACATGGTGGAACAGAGAAAACCAGGTGTCTGAGACTGAATATCTCTCTGATTCTCAAATAGAATCGCTATTATCCCTCCCAGAAACTGATTATTACTGACCTTAGCCGTAACACCCGTACCCTTATACGGATTGAAGATGGCAGATTTGGGCATTGATAAATGGCTAAATTGGAACGTAATGGCTATACAGTAACATGAATTCAGAGCTCTGGCTCTGCGCTTCACATCACTGAATTGGTTTTGATTGACAGCCGGTCTGAACTTGAGCACCTCGCGCGACAAGAAGTTACCCCCATCCCTCATGCTAATTGGGCAACTTTTGCACGTTTTTTGTTTTCTGAGTGAGGGAAATGCTGGTAAGTATCCTGAGTAATTTCACATTTCATTATAAACAAATAAGGCGAAAAGTACAGTAAATGTAAAATGCACAAAACATTGTAATGTTTGGATTCAGTCTTGTGTCAGGTGAACTGTTGCTACCATGGCCATGTATATGCTTTTCATATTTCTTCTGTAAGAAATATTTCAATTTAGCCCTATCCATATAGGCCAATTTTCACGAGTGTAAAGAGTTAAATTACACAATAAATATTGTATTGTGTGTTTTTGGCAGATGTCATCCCAATGTGTCTTTGATCTGGTTCTGTCACGTTTTTAAAAGTTTATTTGGGGAGAATAAAGGCAGAACTCAGTTTCAATTCTCTATCACCCTCTGGTCTGCCATCTGCATAACGTAATAGATTCCTCATTCCCTGCAAGCTCCCCCCCGCCCCCCGCCCCACCATCATCATGTTCCCATCCATTTCTAATTTCCAACCCTGCCTGTTTTTATCTCCCTCCCCTAATCTCCCCCATCTCCTCTTGGCGCCCTGACACTCCAGGCTCCCTGCACAGGTACAGCAGTATTCCACGACACTGAGCCTTCCTCTGTCACAGTGATTTAACATCAAACCAACCCAGCCCTCCTTTCCTCACCTCCTCCTCCCACCTCAGGGTCTGTCCCCAGGGCCGCCTCTGTCGCCATGGAGACTGCAGGGGCACCCAATAGCAGTGTGTCCTCTGAAGGTTAAAGTTTGCCAGTTCTGTGTTTCACCAACCAACCCTGCCATTTAGCTCCAGCACTCTTTCCCTCTCACATAACTGCACCTCCATAGCCAGGCTTGTGGTGGAGACAAAAGATCCTTCCACTTTCCTTACACCCAATATGTGATATGCCTGGTTTTTGAAGTGTTGAGCTTCTCAGCCCACATCAATGAGACAGCCCCTGATTGCTGGGGCTTATCGATACGCCTGTTGTTTCAGAAGTCTGTCTTCAGACGTTTGGTTATTTCAATAATCTATGACTTCGTAGCTCAAGGTCACACGTAACTCTCTGAAGGTTGATTTTTATAGAACATGCTACATGCTGAGAAATCTGATGAAAATGCTAATGATGGTGGCTGTTGTGAGATGCAGGAACTATATTGCTGCTGTGACTGTGAAGAGAAGGGTCTGCTGTTTCTTCTGCTCCACAGCTCCGGGTCTAGTTAAGCCTCCAGCAAGAATCATACAACTACATATAAAATAGTTGCACGCTCTTTTCATTTTAAATAAGTCAAATGTTTGTGTTCTCTCTACCAGAGTTGCAGCGTGGTCCCGGGGCAGGCCGGGTGCGGGGCGAGGTGCAGCTCTACGACACCCCCTATGAGGATGAGCGGGGGCGGCCGCTGGGGGTGGGGCTGGGGTACAGAGACCTCCTAGAGGAGGGCAGGGAGAGCCGGCTGCCGCAGGGTGACGAGCGGCCAGCAGATGAATACGACCAGCCCTGGGAGTGGAAGAAAGACAACATCTCTAAAGCCTTCGCAGGTACTGACTCACTTCAGTTTCATCCTCAGCAACCTGACTACCCATCTCATACTGTTACTATTACACTCACAACCACACTTTTACACTCAATTACCAATATTTCACTTTTTTTTCTCACCCTACTACACACCTTGAATGACCACTCTCACACTCTCAGTCCATTGCACACACACTTTGAATGATCCCACTCATGACTTCTTGCCTATTGAACACGAGGCTGGACGATATAAGTGGGACTATGTGTTGTGTGTCAAAGATTTTTTATTTAAATATATTTTCAAGTTTTATTGACAGATACAGGTTAGACATGTAGAGGGGGAGACGGACGAGAGGGATAAAGCTAAGAAAGTGAGTGGTGGAACGGGGGATTGAACCGCTGCCCTCCACTACCACTATACTATCCCCCGGCACACAATGAATTGTCTAACTGTGTCAGACACACCTACATCTGTGTTTTTATATTGTGAGGCCCTGTCTCTGTATCTGGTGTGTATGAGAGTGACAGACTGGCGGTGGGCAGTAGATCACTGTACGATACGGCAGGGCAGGGCAAGCCTAATTAAATGAGCTGCATCTCAGTGTCAGGAGGTCAAGGTGACAGGAGACTAAATCAACATGCTCGCTTTCACTCCCCTCTTTTTCATGCTCTCGCTCCCCTCCTCCTCCCCCTCTCTTCTCAGTTAATTACATGCTCGCGTTTGCATGACTGATCCAGTGCTAATAAGCCGGTGGTCAGCAGAACTGCTACAGCAGCACACGACACACACACACACAGATACACACATACACACACAGAACATGTTCAAATCACATTAGCTCCCAGGCAAAGAAATACAGTAATTCTAGCGTTGACGGAGAGGATTATGTCGGTCGGTGAGTGACCCTCTCAGAAGATTTTAAGGGCTAAAACCCAGATCTCTCTGCCAAATGTGCACTCTTGGACAGGATCTATTACAGCACCAATTAGAAAAGGTAGCAGATGGAGGAAAAACCTCCACTTTGGATTTTCTGGCACCTGTTTTTCTACCTACGTTTGGGGTGAAAAACAGAAACACTACAGTATTTCCATTCTCACATTTAATCCATATTCCCAGTCAGATCACAGGCGTTGCTAGGCAAGGTTGGTATGGCAGCACTGAGGGGCAGTTGGAGGGGAGGGGGGGGGGGGAGAAAGGGACCAAGGTTATGGCAGATTTTATGTGAGCTCAGTGGATGTTTGTGGAACCCCTGCAAATCCAAGGGGGGCCATTGTGGCAGGGTGCAATCAGTCACCCGCTGACAACCTCTCCTTCATCGCTGTCCTCTCTCCCTACTGAGGTGACACACACAGGCAGCCTGATAACCCACAGCAGGGGGTGTGTGTGTGGGGGGGGGGGGGGGGGGGGGGGGGGGGCATCACAATCTGCCAACAACGCCTCAGCTCTCACCTCCCCACACACAAACACGAACACACACACTGCTGTCAGTAGGCCTGAATATCACCAGTCACCTCAGTCAGGGGTGAGAACAGGATGCTCATTAATAAATAAATAAATATTTAGAGAGGGCTTTTTGCATAGTTGCATATTATTGCATGCACAATTATGATACTCAGGAAGTTGAATGCTGTGCATATCCTCTTGCCAGGGGGACTTACAGTATTCACTGTGGAGTCCAGTCCAGCTCAGGCGGTTGAGATGAGTGTCCGGGTGTGAGTTGGTAGTCAATTATGTTACACAGTAGTGAGAGAGAGCCTGCTGTTGACAGTCCAGTAGGTTTTAATTAGTACACTGCAAAGTTGTCACTAGCACCTAGCTACCCCATCATCTAGCCATAATGAATTCCTGGGAGTCATCGAACATTCAACAGTGAGGGAGGGATAGATAGCCCTGCAGCCATGCAACCCCAATTAGTGAGCTAATGAAATGGACAGGCTCATTACTCCACACAAAATGCCCTGTCTAATGAGTAAATGAGTGGTGTTAGGTTCACAGTGTCTTTGATTTTATGTGCTGTTTGTATCTGATCTCTATCTGGTCTCCCTCCACAAGTAAGAGGCCTTAAAGCTAGACTCAGCGAAGTGACGTTGCCACGAGCAGCACCGCAGATATTGAGATGAGGGAGATGCAAGACTTCGCTCTCACACAGTCACACACAGTATCTGCGCATGTGCACGGGTTCGCTTCACGCTCTTCACAGCGTGGTAGCCAGGGCACCAAAACAGCAGAGAAGTTGAGCCTCGCGCTTTAATGCGCTTAGTTGTTGCGGAAATTGATCCACTATGCTGTTTAATTTCTGCATCAACGTCACACAATCTTTTGCAGATATGGAATATTAGATTGGTTTATACTAGACGGAGTGTCTGGAAAGTCTGCAAAGACACCTGTGTGTGTTTCCTTGACTGTGTGTGTGTGTGTGTGTGTGTGTGTGTGTGTGTGTGTGTGTGTGTGAAGCTGCAGTAATGAGATTTCCGTCACTGTGGCCGGTGTGTCCCTGGTCTGTAAGCTCACTCTAAGCAGGCCCTGGGGGTCCCGACGGGCTTCTCGTGAAGATGCTCTCCCATCCATCCCTGTCTCTCTCTCTCCCTCCTTTACTCCCTCCATGTGAAGCGTTACTGACGATAATGAAAAGACATGTCCTCCGCGATCCCGGCTCGCTCCCTCAAGTGAGCTGGATGGGAGGCAGAGCGAGACGGAAAGAAGGGAGGGGAGGAGAGAAGCAGTGAATGGAGAGATAATGCCCCACTTAAAGGGGGAGAATGACTGGGGGAGAGAGGGAGGTGGAGAGAGTGGTGTGCAGGAAGGCGCCAGAATATACAATCCCTAGAAAAATGGAGGCAGAGCGGACAAAGAGGAAATGGAGGAATAGAAAGTCATTGGGTTGACCTGAAATACAACATGACTCACAAAGCAGCACATATATTTGCAGTTCTGTCCATGAATTCCAAGTGCCATATTCATCTTGTATATGCCTCAGTGTGAATTCATGGCTTGTGAAACCATGCATGTTTCACACTCGTGCAGGGTGTTAATTGTCTGTCATTAGTAGAGAGCAGTTGTGCCCAGCAGAAGGCCTTTTGTGGGCAGAGAGAACATGGGGAGCTGGGCTTGTGACAAAGCTGATGTCTTCATAATTGTGTTTAATGAAGAGATACGGCAGGATTTATCTAATGCTTCTGTCGCTTGATTCCAGGATATTTATTTTTGATTATGCTAAATAAAAAGGGGTTTTATATTTACTCAGATTATGAGTTTTTTAGGTTGTAGTGCCATTTTCTTCCAGACTGAAAGAGTAAAATGGATTTAATATTTGTGTTTTGTTAAGATACTGAAATGCCTTTTTCATGTTTCAATCCACTCAAATTGTTGGCATGTGGAATGAGCACAATGATTGTGATTCAGCCAAGCCATTAATTAGTGAATTGTTTTCACCTGTTGCCAACCACACCAATGGACCCACTTCAGTGTGAGGTTCTCTGGCTGCATTCACACAGGCAGCCCAATTCTAATATTTTTCCCCTTAATTGGTCTTTTGACCAATCACAGCAGATCTTTTTCTGAGATTATCTGATTGGTCAAAAGACTAATTAGTGGGTCTAAATGCAGCCTCTTTAGTGTATGCTAAGACGTCTGTTCAGGTTTTTGTACTATAATCCTGAATATTCTATTGTCCTGAAATCTCAATCAGCCTGCTAGTCCTCTCTCAGAACATTATGTTGTCACAATGTCTTATAAATCACAAGAAAGACCTTTGAGCAAATGGCCTCCCCAACCTGTGTGACAGTGCCACAGGTTCCCATTAGTAGTAAATGGAGCCCAGATGTGCCCTCTGTTTGAGTGACAGATCTCTCTCTCTGTGTGTGTGTGTGCATGCACCAGGCCAACGGAGGGTCACGTCCTGCCCTTTGTCACGGTGATGAGTGCTGACATCCATAGGAGGAGGTAAAGGTGATGTCATGAGGGAGTTACAAAGGGTTCATTCAGGGTTGATGTTACACTGCAGACAGGTCACACTGGAACACAGATGGACCAAACAGCCTCCCCAGAAATTCAAACATTTAAACTGGGCACTTGTGTGCTACAAATAGCAGCAACTGTGGAATCACAAAATATGAAGAGAATGCACACACGCACTCATACTAGTGCAACTGGTTTGTAAGCACATGGTGGTATTCTACTGTACTGCACTGTATGTCCTTTGTGTTGAAAGCTGTCTGGAACTCCCCCCAAACACAGCAGGAATTATGTTGGAATTTTCCCATTAACTGTGACACACAAAGCTTAACCCTGTCCTCTTAAAAAAAAAAAAGAAAAAAAAGAAATGGCCACAATCTCTAAAGTGCGATTCTCTTCACCGAGTTCATTCCCTTCGTCCTTTCATTCTAACCCTCCCTCATTTTAGTTCGCTCTGAGCCTGTGTGTCTTTACCCCATGCTCTCCCCTCGGTCCTGTTCTCTCTCTGGAGCGAGAGAGAGGTGGGGATGGGAGGCAGCCAGGAGTGTGGTTGGGGAGGGCAGGGACTGGAGGGGGGGAGCGGAGGTCACACTTTAATCATGGCTTCTGCAGGGCTGGGGGGGCTCTCCAGATGGGTCCATTGTACTGCACCATGCATCAATAATTCACAGAGAGCCAGAGAAAGTGGCGGAGTGTGTCTGCCTGCTCAATAATTAAGCAGAGGGAGGGAGGGAGCGAGGGATGAGAGAGAGGGATGTATGTACAGCAGCACTGGGGTCTCTCTCCTAATGTCCCGTTCAGCTGCCCTTTGATGTCACACACCCAGGGGGTCTTTGGTTTTGTCAGATCATTAAGATGTCAGTCCCCTTTCCCCTTCATTTGTTTTGTAATCCTGTTTCACTGTGTGTGTGGTGTGTAGCACAGGCGTGGCGGATTCTTGTGTGTGTTTGTGAGTTTGTGTGTGTGTGTGTGTTTCTGCCATTGAGGCTGCAGTAATGTGTTGCGTGGTTATTTGCCACGGTTTGTAATTGTGCTAATTTGGTCAGCTCCTGGCTCACTGTGTGCCCTGTCCTCAGTGTCCCTGACATACAGTCCAGCTCATTGTCAACCGGACACGCCGCATCTGCTATGCTCTCTTCAATTCTCTTCACTCTTTCTCCTGTCAGAATTCTTACACCTCTCATCCATATTCAAAATGACACTCTAGTGTCATTTTTTAAAAATACTTATTTTCACCAAGACATTCACATTCTCTATATTATCTTCCTCTCACTCCTCCATATCTTTTTCTCCTCTCCTCTCCTCTCCTCTCCTCTCCTCTCCTCTCCTCTCCTCTCCTCTCCTCTCCTCTCCTCTCCTCTCCTCTCCTCTCCTCTCCTCTCCTCTCCTCTCCTCTCCTCTCCTCTCCTCTCCGCCTGGCTCCCTGTAGAGATGTCAGAGCTGGCTGAGCTGCCCTGGCCCCCTCCAGTGGGGAAGCAGCTGGAGGAGGAGCTCCCAACCCCCCTCAGAGAGCAAGGTGACCTCTCAACCTCTCACCCAGGACAACAAGACCTCCCCCAACCCCCTCCCTGACCCCCTACGACCCCCCCCAGCCTGAACCCCCAGTGTCCTGCATCTGCCCTGCCTGCTTTCTGTATGATGTTAACATACAGAAATGACTAAATGACTAAAATGTAAAAATGTAACACCCATCACTGGGTCAAGTAACCTAACAACCAACACTAGGTTTGGCAACACATAGGCTAATGTAGATACTGGTGGTAGCACACAGTAATGGGTCTCATAAAGCATTTGGGTCATGATGAGCTTTCGCCAGTCGCCACACATGGCACTCTCTCTCTCCCGCTACACAGCACTACAGCCCCTCAAGGCCCGTTCCCCGCCACTACCCATAAGCTCCCTGTGCTATGTGGCCGTCTCATGCCTTGTTGCATTAGGTCACCCTGGAGCATCTCCCAGTCCCAGCCAGCCACTGGATGATGATGATGAGGTTGCATCCAGTCAGATCTGTACTACCAGCTCTCCTCTCCTTTGTGGACCCCTTCAGCAGAAACACTGTCTGTCCTCTATCCTATGGCATGCCGAACCCTTTGCCCTCTGCACCAACAACCGTATCTCAACTCTTTTACCAGGCCTGACTTGACTATTCTACATTTAATGATGCACTCACTCTTTCTTCCCCTCCCCTCCCCCTCTCTTTCTCCTCCCCCTCTGTCTCTCTGTACAGTGCAGTTTGATGGTGCCGAGTGGGACCGGTCCTCGTCCCCCACGGAGCGCCTGTGTCCTCCCAGGTCCAGTCCCCTAGCAGGAGGGGTTGTGAAGTTCCGGATGCCCTGCTCTGACCCCCACAACATGATGGGGGAGAGAGTAGACCCCACCCTTCCCCTGGAGAAACAAGTGTACGTACTGTACTCTTCTTTTGTAATGACATTTTATTGTGTGCTTTGCTATCTCTTGTTTGGGTTGGGTTTTATTGCTCTGTCTACACAGTCAAACTGAACGCATGACAGTAGAATGTAAAATATGGTTGTTTTGTTTTATACATGTATATCATTAGAATAAAGTATGTTTCTCCATATATGAATGAACAAGTCTACTAATCAATCACATATGTGTACACAATGTCATAGACATGAAGTGAGCACAGTGTGAGTGGGTAGTCCATTACTCTTCCTGGTGGTCTCTTAAGGGTTGTTATAGGATCCACTGGAGAGCCCTACTCATCTCTGGGTTTGTGTGGTCTGGTCTCAGTCCGACCCCCTGTGCCATCTGCCACAGTTAGTAAATCGTGACGAAAGGAGATAATGCTTGTTTTAAAGTGTGAAGGAACAGATTCTTATAACACATTTGATGACACAGCAACACATTCCAGCAAAGGTGACAATAATATATTTGCACGTCACTTTATTAACACCTGTGTAGCGTGCATCATGAAAAGAAAATCCCTTAATTTGCCCTTCTCTTCCATTAATATTTCACAATGCACTGAGCTGCTGGTCTCCTTCCATCTCTCCATTAATGTCCCTGTGGTGTGTGTCTGTCAGGTGGTACCATGGGGCACTGTCGCGGTCAGAGGCAGAGTCTCTTCTGACCCTGTGTAAGGAGTGTAGCTACCTGGTGAGGAACAGCCAGACCGGCCGCAACGACTACTCCCTCTCACTACGGTATGAAGCTCAACATAATCACACCAACGACTACTCCCTCTCACTACGGTATGAAGCTCAACATAATCACACCAACGACTACTCCCTCTCACTACGGTATGAAGCTCAACATAATCACACCAACGACTACTCCCTCTCACTACGGTATGAAGCTCAACATAATCACATCAACGACTACTCCCTCTCACTACGGTATGAAGCTCAACATAATCACACCAACGACTACTCCCTCTCACTACGGTATGAAGCTCAACATAATCACACCAATGACTACTCCCTCTCACTACGGTATGAAGCTCAACATAATCACACCAATGACTACTCCCTCTCACTACGGTATGAAGCTCAACATAATCACACCAATGACTACTCCCTCTCACTACAGTATGAAGCTCAACATAATCACACCAACGACTACTCCCTCTCACTGCGGTATGAAGCTCAACATAATCACACCATTGACATTTACATTTCAACGGCAATATCAAATCATTGCTAATGCACTTAAATACAGATTGATATGAGTCAAATGGTGCAACAAGTACAGTAGGTTAGAATATTTATTGAATCATCCTCAGATCAACTACTGTATGAATCTGTTGAATGTTTTTCTGCTGTGTGTTCGGGATACTTGCTGCCACCTCCACTGATCTTTTATCTCACTGTATGTAGGCCTCAATCTGTCTCTCCTCCTTCCCCTTCCCCTGTGTCTTCCCCTCCCTCACCCCCGCCGAAGATCGTTGACACACTAATTTTCCTCTCAATACTCCTTCAAGCTGCGTACTGCTTATCTGGTCAAATCTCTTCTCTCTAATTACTAGCTTGATCCATAACCTTTTCTCCATCGCTCTCCCCCTTTCCTCCCTCCCTTCCTCTGTCCCTCCCCCCGGTCCTTCTTCTTCTCTCTCTCTCTGAGGGGTAATCAGGCAGGTAGAGCACACTCCAGCTCTCACATCAGCCACTCTCCAATCAGTAATGAATATGAATCACCTTCTGTGGGCCACACACAGGCACACTCTTTCACACACACACACTCAGTTGTTAACAGCAGACACAGACAGGCTGACATTGTGTGAAGCGACAACTACAGTATGTGGCCCTCGTCTCACAATAGGAGGTACCAGGGGTCTAAGAGAATAAGTGTTTTGATCTTTACAAAGAGCCTACCAGTCTGTCTCTGAATGGTTGTGCGGGAGACATTGAGGTAGTTGAAGGGAGATGGAATCAAAGCGACTGCAGATAACCAGTAGAGCAGGCTTCCACAACTGGCGGCCCGCAGACCGAATTTGGCCCGCGGGTGGTTTTTATTTGCCCCCCCAAGTTTTCTGAACAATTTTTTGGTATTTTCATTGTTGGACATAAAAGACGGTAAAAACAACAGGAAATCAGCTTCAAGTTATTTTAATTTTGGGAATCTGTTCCCAAGTATTCGCACGCATTATAGAGAGACACGTAATCGTATACAAATGTAAGCAAGGTTTGAAATTATTATGTTTTAGTCAAATATACAGTACCAGTCAAAAGTTTGGACTTTTTACTATTTTCTACATTGTAGAATAATAGTGAAGACATCAAAACAATGAAATAACACATATGGAATCATGTAGTAACCAAAAAAGTGTTAAACAAATCAAAAAATATTTTATATTTTAGATTCTTCAAAGTAGCCACCCTTTCCCTTGATGACAGCTTTGCACACTCTTGGCATTCTCTCAATCAGCTTAACCTGGAATGCTTTTCAACAGTCTTGAAGGAGTTCCCACAAATGCTGAGCACTTGTTGGCTGCTTTTCCTTCACTCTGCGGTCCAAACCATCTCAGTTGAGGTCGGGTGATCGTGGAGGCCATGTCATCTGATGCAGCACTCCATCACTCTCCTTCTTGGTCAAATAGCCCTTACACAGCCTGGAGGTGTGTTGGGTCATTGTCCTGTTGAAAAACAAATGATAGTCCCACTAAGCGCAAACCAGATGGGATGGCGTATCACTGCAGAATGCTGTGGTAGCCATGCTGGTTAAGTATGCCTTGAATTCTAAAGTTGAGAGAATGCCAAGAGTGTGCAAGCTGTCACCAAGGGAAAGAGTGGCTACTTTGAAGAATCTCAAATATAAAGTATATTTTGATTTGTTTAACACTTTTTTGGTTACTACATGATTCCATATGTGTTATTTCATAGTGATGTCTTCACTATTATTCTACAATGTAAAAAATAGTAAAAATAAAGAAAAACCCTGGAATGAGTAGGTGTGTCCAAACTTTTGACTGGTACTGTATATATTTGGGCTTCTTGCGGTCAATTTGCAGCCTACAAATTATTTATAATTATGTTCCGGCCCCCCGACCATCCGCTCAAGAAAAAATCGGCACATGGCTGAATCTAGTTGATGATCCCTGGACCAGAGAGTACTGCGGCTTGGAAACAGACTGACAGACAGCCCAGCATCACACCAATATGAATATGGATGAGACCGATACACAGACAAACCATGTCTCTTCAAGAAAGATTTTACTCTGACAGCTTGTCAGGGACCTGTGGTTGTTTCATACAAAACATACCTTTCATTCCTGATGGTTGATGCGCACTAAAGTACACAGTCAAAATAGCGCTAGCAATTTAGCAATGCTGATTCTGTTTGTTGTTATTGTGTTGTTGTGTAGAACAACAGATTTCCCTGGTCTTTAATGTTGATTTTGCTAACTGTAATAATGACTAAATGTAGCTCACCAATTAGAGCCCTTTCTCTCTGCTTCTATAATTAGACATACATCATGATGGGCTGCTCGCTCTTAAAGGGGAGGTGCAGCGCTGCTCTACTGCTAGTACTGTATCGCCCCCCCCCCCCATCCCTTCATCTTCTTTGTCTTTCCTTTTTGTCTTTTCTCTCACATGCCATTACATCACTCCTTTATACTGTATCACTCCCCTTTTCCTCTCTCCTTTCTAGTCATAAATTACGATATGGTGTTAAATCTGGGTGAGAAATACCTCATAAAATGCCAGAAACAAGTAGGCTGTATTTCAGCCCTGTCCCTTCCACTGTGTCATTATGTGATATGATGTGGTCCATGACTCTTCTGTGCTCTGCCCACGCTGTCTTCTCTCTCAGGAGCTGCCAAGGCTTCATGCACATGAAGTTCAGCCAGTGTAAGGATGGGAAGTACGTCCTTGGGCAGAACAGCCTGCCATTCGACACCATCCCAGAGGTCATCCATTTCTACACCACACACAAGCTACCAATCAGAGGAGCCGAACACTTGTCTCTGCTCTTCCCCGTGCTCGTACAGACCCTCTGATTGGCTGGGACTCTTGTTCCTGGAATCCTGGATCACATTGTGATTGGACACTGACTTTAGATTGACTTAAATGTCGAAGGGATTTACCCAATCAGTCCGCCAGTGCTCTAGTTGGACTGGACTATTTTGTTGAGGATTCAACATCTGCTGGCTTGTCAGTACAGTACCTTCACGGACCTTCTGGTTTCTATGATGCCAACTCTCTCTGGTTTGGGAACAGATTCACATAAAATGCAATACCTAGACTGTACAGGAGCCTTCTCTCTGTAGCCTAACGGTACCTGGGATGCTATCTGGATTACCTGTTGCAAAATGAGCCTCCTACTGAGCTAGTATTGCTCTACTGGTTGACAGTCTCAAGGGAAACTTGGTTGTACTCACACAAACACACCTCTGTTGATTTGATACTTTCTGTACTGTTGAGTAAATCCTATTTGACACTGCTTCATGTTGACAAATTGTAAGTCAAACCCGAATCACTGTATGGGTGTTGTAGCAGCAGCTGTAGGGCTGTGTCTAATTGTACTACTGTTGATGTGTGTTTGTCATAATGATCTGTTTATCTGGACACCTTCACTGCCTGGTTGCAGTGCTCTGTAGTTGACCAGCACCATTTTCAATAGAGAGCCAAAGGTTTATATGGCCATATAAATGGACAAATCACAATGATAGTTATGGTTTAATGATCATTCTTATTACCTGGGTCTTCATAATCAGTGACTTTTTCATCTCTGATGTATAATTATGGATAGGACATGTTTTCTCATTTACCTGCTGTGTTCAAATGTTTCACCTGTGGTAAAAACAATAAATGGTTTCATAAAGAGCAGTGTCTGCTTTGTGTGTCATGTGGAAAGACGAGTATCACAGTTTCTGATAGTGTAGATCAGTCATTGGTGTTATCCAGAGCCATATAGAGTTAGCCCAGGTTTTAGAACGGCCGCCATGTTAGCACCCATATAGAACTTTATTCTTGAAATTGTGGTGACGTAACAATATGAGAGCGCCTCCGATAATTCCCTAAGAAATGACCCGCTGTAAATGAGCAAAGCAGAGCAGCGAATTTAAGACATTTTTATTGATTAGCATTCGGCATAATGTGTACCCTAGTCTTTACTGTGTTGTAGTGTCAACAAATTGCAAATCTGCTTTCACTGGACATCTTCATAGGTTTTGAAAACCTATCATAAATAAACAGCGCAACTCGGAAGCGTTCATTATCACTTAGCAACGGCTATGGAGGAGAAAGTGGCACTCTCTGGAACATTCAACTGCATTGGTCTAACTCTATATACACCAGTGGCAGTCAGTGCCATTTAAGATGAGGGAGGATGACTTGGACAGCGACGGTTGAGGTTATGTCTCTCTCTGGCGGGAGGTAAACTTGGCTCATGTGGTGTCGAGTAAAGATGAAACCATCTATTTAGATTGTAGGTAGGTAGGTACTGTAGTTAGGTATTGTAGGTTGTTTATCTAGGTAGTTATTGTAGGTAATTATTGTAGGTAAGTATTGTATTCGGCTGAGCCCGGTGAAGCACGAGGCTAGCTAACTCACTACCTGGACCAATACAGCTAGCTAGCTAGCGGGTAGCTACTGGTAACTATTAGCAACTGTGGATAGCTGTTTCCAATGTTATTCCACGCTTAAGAGTACCTGTAATTATGCCAGCTAGCTACCTACCATTCAGCTGTTTTTCTAACCTCATTATCTGAAGCGTTAACGTTAGGTAGTTAGTAGCTACTGTACTCGAAATATAGCTACCTGGATAGCTAACTAAACAATAGCTGGAACGACCTAGCGTTAATATTTGGAGACGCTTTCTCTCCGTTGGGACAGACGCGAACTGGCTGAATCGATTCAATGGCTAGCTTTGCACTTAACTGGCTAACAGTTGCTACTAAGGGTAAGCTATAACTTACATTTATTTTTTTATTTTTTTACATACTGGTAACCAGAGTCGTTCAAGGGAATTCGGGACATGGGTGACTAGCTAACGTTAGCTTGGCTCTCTGTGTGTTCGTGCCGTGGGAGGAGGGGTTAGTTCGTTGGCAGAGAGCAGTGGCTAGCTAGTATGCTAACTATTCTAGCTAACTAACTGGCTGAACAAGTTGACGACGTACTCACTCAAACTGTCAAAACTACCCCAAAACTTTACACAATGTTAGATACGGACATGAATGATCTGCTTGGCGTGTTAACACACTGGTGGTTTGTTGTAACCGAGTATTGGTGCTAAACCGTGTTATTGGAGGCTGGCATGCTAGTTGGCTTTGGCGTCATATGATTCGGTGTACCAAGTTAGCTAGCTGAATAAACTAAGTTAGAGTCTATTCCTAGAAACATTGAACCGCTGTAGTTTACAACAATTATAATTTCTAAAGTGGAAGTTGGGAGAGTTATATTTGAGTGTTTCAGTGAAACGTAAGTGAGGGAGGCCAAGCTCTCTCGCTTTCCCAGATGTTTAGTTAATTTCATTCCGATCTCCTTTGCATTATTGTAGCCTTTCTCTGTAGCCTGTCAACTATGTGTCTGTCTATCCCTGTTCTCTCCTCTCTGCAAAGGCCATACAAACGCTTCGCACCACGTGGCTGTTGCCACTCTAATCTGGTGGTTCCTGCGCGCACGACCCACGTGGAGTTCCAGGTCTCTGGCAGCCTCTGGAACTGCCGTTCTGCGGCCAACAAGGCAGAGTTCATCTCAGCCTATGCTACCCTCCAGTCCCTCAACTTCTTGGCGCTGACGGAAACATGGATTACCACAGAAAACACTGCTACTCCTACTGCTCTTTCCTCGTCTAACCATGTGTTCTCGCATACCCCGAGAGCATCTGGTCAGCGCGGCGTTGGCACAGGAATCCTCATCTCTCCAAAGTGGACATTCTCTCTTTTTCCCCTGACCCATCTGTCTATCTCCTCATTTGAATTCCATGCTGTCACAGTCACTAGCCCATTCAAGCTTAACATCCTTGTCATTTATCGCCCTCCAGGTTCCCTTGGAGAGTTCATCAATGAGCTTGACGCCTTGATACGTTCCTTTCCTGAGGATGGCTCACCCCTCACAGTTCTGGGTGACTTTAACCTCCCTACGTCTGTCTTTGACTCATTTCTCTCTGCCTCCTTCTTTCCTCTTTTGACCTCACCCTCTCACCGTCCCCCCCTACTCACAAGGCAGGCAATACGCTTGACCTCATCTTTACTAGATGCTGTTCTTCTACTAATCTCACTGCAACTCCCCTCCAAGTCTCCGACCACTACTTTGTATCCTTTTCTCTCTCGCTCTCCTCCAACACTACTCACTCTGCCCCTACTCAGATGGTAATGTGCCGTCGCAACCTTCGCTCTCTCTCTCCCGCTACTCTCTCCTCTTCCATCCTATCATCTCTTCCCTCTGCTAAATCCTTCTCCCTCCGATCTCCTGATTCTGCTTCCTCAACCCTCCTCTCCTCCCTTTCTGCATCTTTTGACTCTCTATGTCCCCTCCTGCTCCGTGGCTTGACGACTCATTGCGAGCTCACAGAAGAGGGCTCCGGGCAGCCGAGCAGAAATGGAGGAAAACTAGACTCCCTGCGGACCTGTCATCTTTTCACTCCCTCCTCTCTACATTCTCTTACTCTGTTTCCGCTGCTAAAGCCACTTCCTACCACTCTAAATTGCAAGCCTCTGCCTCTAACCCTAGGAAGCTCTTTGCCACCTTCTCCTCCCTGCTGAATCCTCCTCCTCCACCCCCTCCCTCCTCCCTCTCTGTGGATGACTTCGTCAACCATTTTGAAAAGAAGGTTGACGACATCCGATCCTCATTTATTAAGTCAAATGACACCGCTGGTCCTGCTCACACTGCCCTATCCTATGCTTTGACTTCTTTCTCCCCTCTCTCTCCAGATGAAATCTTGCGACTTGTGACAGCCGGCCGCCCAACAACCTGCCCGCTTGACCCTATCCCCTCCTCTCTTCTCCAGACCATTTCCGGAGACCTTCTCCCTTACCTCACCTCGCTCATCAACTCTACCTTGACCGCTGGCCATGTCCCTTCCGTCTTCAAGAGAGCGAGAGTTGCACCCCTCCTCAAAAAACCTACACTCGATCCCTCCGATGTCAACAACTACAGACCAGTATCCCTTCTTTCTTTTCTCTCCAAAACTCTTGAGCGTGCCGTCTCTAGCCAACTCTCCTGCTGTCTCTCTCAGAATGACCTTCTTGATCCAAACCAGTCAGGTTTCAAGACTGGTCATTCAACTGAGACTGCTCTTCTCTGTGTCACGGAGGCTCTCCGCACTTCTAAAGCTAACTCTCTCTCCTCTGCTCTTATCCTTCTAGACCTATCCGCTGCCTTTGATACTGTGAACCATCAGATCCTCCTCTCCACCCTCTCCGAGTTGGGCATCTCCGGCGCTGCTCACTCTTGGATTGCGTCCTACCTGACAGGCCGCTCCTACCAGGTGGCGTGGCGAGAATCTGTCTCCACACCATGTGCTCTCACCACTGGTGTCCCCCAGGGCTCAGTTCTAGGCCCTCTCCTATTCTCTCTATACACCAAGTCACATCCTCACATGGTCTCTCCTATCATTGCTACGCAGTGATGAGAGCACTTTTTCCCCTTCTGATAACCAGGTGGCGAATCGCATCTCTGTATGTCTGGCAGACATATCAGTGTGGATGTCGGATCACCACCTCAAGCTGAACCTCGGCAAGTCGGAGCTGCTCTTCCTCCCTGGGAAGGACTGCCCGCTCCATGATCTCAACATCACGGTTGACAACTCCATTGTGTCCTCCTCCCAGAGTGCAAAGAGCCTTGGCGTGACCCTGGACAACACCCTGTCGTTCTCTGCTAACATCAAAGCGGTGACCCGATCCTGCAGGTTAATGCTCTACAACATTCGCAGAGTACGACCCTACCTTACACAGAAAGCGGCACAGGTCCTAATCCAGGCACTTGTCATCTCCCGTCTGGATTACTGCAACTCGCTGTTGGCTGGGCTCCCTGCCTGTGCCATTAAACC